GTGAGCGGTGCAGAAATCTTGGAAAAATCGCGAACGAAACGTCTGTAGTAAGCGCACAGCCCAAGAAATCTTCTTACGGCTTTCTTATCTGATGGTTTCGGGAATTTAGCAACAGCGGATGTCTTGGCAGGATCAGGGCTAAAACCCTGAGCACTCACGACATGACCCAGGAATTTGAGCTCGCTGTTAGCGAACCGACGTTTTGACGGTTTTAGTGTCAGTCCAGCATTCTGGATAGCCGGTAGCACGGCTCACAAACGTCTCAGGTGCTCGTCGAAGTCGCTTGCGAATACCACGACGTCGTCGAGGTAGGCGAGGCAGCTTTTCCATTTTAGGCAGGAAAGAACGGTGTCTATTACGCGCTGGAACGTCGCCGGTGCTGTACACAGTCCGAACGGCATCACTTTAAATTCGTACAGTCAGTCCAGCGTGACGAAAACAGTCTTCTCCCGATCCCGTTCGTCGACCTCGATCTGCCAGTACCCACTCTTCGGGTCCATCGACGAAAAGAATCGGGCGTGGCGCAGCCGGTCCAGAGTGTCGTCGATGCGTGGCAGCGGGTAGACGTCCTTTCTTGTTATGGCGTTTAGTCGACGAGAGTCCACGCAGAACCGAAGAGTCCCGTCTTTCTTTTTCACCAGGACTACCGTAGAAGCCCATGGACTCTGTGAGGGTTGGACGATGTCGTCGTCGAGCATTTCTTGGACCTGCTTTTGGATGACTTCTCTCTCTTTCACAGATACACGATACGGCGACCGATGATCAGGAAGTGCGTCGTCATCAGTAATAATTCGATGTTTCGCAACCGTCGTTTGGCGCACCTTTGACGACGTGTAGAATCACTTACTGAACTCGGCGAGAAGGTCACTGAGTTGCCGTCGTTGTGGGGTAGGCAGGACTGGATCGATGTCAAACTGCGAATGCGGCGTTGTCTCGTGTCGCCCCGAAGAGATGTATTCTGCTATTACGGCGATTGCGGCTGAGTCCATGAGTTCCTCGGCGTGACCCACGGCGGTGCCTTTCGTAAGGTGCTGAGCCTCCTGTCGGAAGTTTGTTACGAGTTCAACAGTGTGTCCGTCTTGTAGCTCCGCGATGCCTCTTGCGACGCCGATCCCTCTTCCTAGAAGCAACTGGAGGCTTCCCTCGAGCAGAACGTCGCCGAAGAAAGCCCCGTCGATCCCGATGGGTACGAAAACACTGGACCGCGGCGGTAAGTTCATGTGATTTGCGAGGACTCGGACCGCGGATGACGTCGCTTTGGATTCCTCCAGCGCTGGAGCAGGTTTTCGTAGCGTCAGCCGGTTTTCACCGAGGTCGATGTCGGCGCCATACTCGCAAAGGAAGTCCATTCTAAGGGTAACGTCTCTCGAGCAGTCTTGGAGAACGACGAACATTGACAGGGCACGTCTCACCATGGATCTCGACGCCAGCAGTGCAAATCCCGACTGGTGTGATTATGTGCCCACCGGCGGTCCGTATCTGTGGGCCATCCCACGGCGTCGTCACTTTCCGAAGGCGTTGGGAGAGCCTCCCACTCAGGACGGAGTAGGCTGCTCCGGTGTCGACGAGGGCGGACGCGTCGTGGCCGTCGATAACGACGTGTAGGTTATTCTTCACCGTTGCAGGAGCGTCGCTTCGGTCCCTGGTGGTGTTTGACTGGGGGCCCTCCGACGTTTGTGGAGGATCTTTGCGTCGGTCGTCTTCGGCAACTCCACCTCCAAGGGTTGCCGCGCGTAATTTCCCCGGCGAGGAGCGAGGGGCGAAAGGCTTTCACGTCGGGGTCGGTGCATCGGCGAAGTTGGCCGTCCAGACGAAGATGACCGGAACTCTCGGCGGGACGCACGCTCGGGGGACTGAGGTCGTCGCAGGCACTCGTCGATCTCCCGAGGTCGTTCATCATAATGGGGGCGCGGGTCGTTCGGGTGGAACCCGCGCAGCCCAAGTCGTCGGTATGGGCATCGGCGGTAGGTGTGGTCTGCTTCCCCGCAGTGGAAACACAGAGGGCGTCGGCCGGGCGTTCGCCACACGTCGGTCTCCCAAGGTACGTGGGGCTCCTGGCAGGTGTACTGGACCTGGTCGTCGTGGCATCTTTCGTGTTGCGGTGCAGGAGACTGACGTCGGGACGGCGCGACATAGGTGCGAGGAGCAGGCGGTGGCCGTCGGGCCACTGCGGCGTAAGTCAACGTGGGCTCCTCGGTGGCTGCCACGGCGACGGGAGCCTCTGGTTGGATGGCTCTCTGAACTTCTTCCCGCACAACCTCGGCGAAGGAGAGCGTGGCTGGTAGTGGAAAGCGCGCGCTGGGAGGGCGTGCTTGATGTTTGTTGCCTCGGTGACGAATCCGTCGACGGTTGCCGGCGGGTTGCGGACGAGGCCTCCGAAAATGTCGTCTCTCACCCCGCGCATGAGAATTCGTAGCTTCTTCTCTTCGGTAGCCCAAGGCAAGCTCGATAACCGTTAGGCCACGCGCGAGCGGCAATATAGCGCTATTTTTGGGCGGATAATGAGTGTTCGTCGAAGCGTAGTTTGCATTAGCGGTAAAAATAACCTTGTAAATATTTTTCGCGGACACCCTGTGATATCGTCCCCAGGAGCCAACACAGGGGTCAAAAGCGGAATGCAGCGAGTCCTTAAAGCGACGAGCGCAATAGTAGCAGATCCGACCTAATCAGCGCTAGATCAGAAAAACAGCAAACTCCACAAGGTGGCGGTGGCCCCCTCGTGAACCTAAAGAGAAGCTTTAGAGAACCAGAGACGTCATGGATCGCAGAACACACGCAATTATTGCCTGTTTTCTTCTGGCGGACTTTGTTATTCGGAGGAACTGATTGCCACATGCTTACACTTACTCTGTACGTTGCTAGAAAGAAAAAGGTAATAACTCATCGTATTTCCTTCTTCCTTTCTCCTGTCATGCTTTCGGGAGGTCACTTAGCCTTGTGATTGTGTGACAAGACAACACGCGCGCTGTCTCTTTTATATTTTTAGTTTACGTAGTAGGTGTCCCCAAACATAACATAAAGCGGAATGTGAAAAATCGAATATGCACTCAGTTCTGATTTCTCTTCAATTATTATGTTTGTGCAAAATCTTTTTTAGTAACGTTCCCTACACACTTTGAAGATTAATATATAATCAATTTAGCAAGAAAAGAAAAGACGCTTACAATTCTCTGTAATGCCGAATTAGTGCGCAGCTCTTCAGGAGCAGAAGGCTACGGAGGGAAGGGCATGTCCCTGCTCCCCCTTCGTACCCCGCCCTCCTCCTTCCCTACTCCTTTCCTGTTTAGTGGGAGATTTTCGCTAAATTTCACGCTAAATTTAGAGGGAAATCTACAGTTTCCAGCTAAATTTAGCGGGAAAAGTATACCCTTGTGACGTCACAGGTGACGTCACGTGTGACGTTTTTATGGGACGATGCAACGCGTGGTTACGTCGACGCCACTCAACCCGGAAACGAGCGCCTCAGAGCTGGGCTCCAAAACAAACAAAAAAAAATACTCGTAATCGTGACGTCACACGTCCCAATGACGAGTGGCGTCACGAGAGAAAAATTTTCGCGCCAAACTTAGCGTGAAAATTTTACCCTCGTGACGTCACACGTCACGTCATCGTGTTACGTCATCATGTGACATCATGGTTTGACGTCATGAGGGTAAAATTTCCCCGCTATATTTTGCGAAAAAGCTTTTCCGCTAAATTTAGTGAAGCAATTTTCGAGCTAAATTTATAGGAAAAATTTTAAGCTCTTGACGTCGCATGTGACATCATTATGCGTGACGTCACACGCGACGTCAATGATGAGACCCATCCCATAACGGAACGCGCGGTTACGCCGCGCGTTCCGTTATGGGATGTTTATTTGCATGTGAGGACTCCAAGACTCGTTTTAGCGAACAACTCGGTGCGCCCAAGACTGCCCAGCTGTTCCTCGAAAGATGCCGAGTACAACTTGTTGCGCTGTGGGCTGCTCAAACAACCCGCTGCGCAACCCGGAGGTGCTTTTTCACAAGTTTCCAACGGACCTGAAATTGGAGAAGGTGTGGGTGAACGCTGTTCGACCAGTGGACTTTGGACTTCGGCTTTTACTTGCCCGAGGAAAAAAGAACGAAAAAACAGACGTGTACAGCCCAGCACACCTGTGTTCGGGCGCCGCGGCCCACGCCGGAGAGCCTCAAAGCTTCGTGTCTGGGACTGACCCGCAGCGCAAAAGCGAGAGGGCGCCCAGTACTGTACGTCACTGGCAGCGCGGCGTAGAGCAACGCCGCTCCATCCACGGAGCGCCGATGACAATTTAGGCCTAGCGACGAATACGGAAGACCGCACGCACGGCGACAGCCGCCGAGTACGGCACCAAACGAGTTCATTTGTTTTCCAGTCGCTAGCTTTTGGGTATACAAGCGACAAGTGTGGGTTAGCGCACACACGGCGGCGGCTGCCGAGTACGGCACCGAACGAGTTCACGGATTTTCCAGTCGCTAACGTTTGGGTATACGCACTAACTCTTGCTACGTATGCTGGACAACTAGCAGGTATACAGAATTAAAACAAAATAAGCTAGCTTACCTCCTATGTTTAGAAGGCTAGCGCAACAGAGGTAGGTGCCGCTCGGCCTGCGTACTCGTTGAACGAGAACGGGCCTGACGTCACGTTCACATAGCGGCTGATTTCCAGTGTTGCCGGGACCTCGAGCGGCTAGTTTCGGTTTTGTTGGCCGCGCCCCAAACAAAACTTGAGGCGTCGATATCTTTGAAACTACGCACAATAACGAGAAAAAAAATTACATCTTGCGAGTCAGGGGCGCTGACTGCGCTAAAAACTGTCATAATCCCAAAATCCAAAGTATGGACCAAAGTTGCCCTTTAATTAACGTTAAGCCGCACAGGCAATGTCTCGGTGTTAGCATGTGACACGAATCCATGTAAGCAGTTCAGACTCTATGTTCCCAGTCGTCTACTGTGTTTAGATAATGTTTTGACAACTTTAATGAACGAAGTACTCACGTATTATTGTTGTATTGCTGACGCAAAACCTCTTTGGTGCATTCTGATAAACCTCGGGGACTAGTCAAATACCTCGTAGCCATTAAGGTTCTACCGCTTTCTGGACAGGTATCACTTATATCCCACGGAGAGCCCAACCTGAAAAAACAACAGCAAAAAGAAAAAAACACAAAAAAAGACACTTTTAGAGTATTCGGTGAAAAAAGGGATAGAAAAAAGGCAAGCGCCGAGCAGGAAATATAAACAGATAAAATAATATTTGTAGGAGGGGGAGGAAGGGCAAAGAATGACCACTTGCTGCGGCTGCTTAATCCGAAATTGAAAGGTATAGCAAAGGAAGAAACACAGAATGCTCGTGTCCGCGCCTCACCTCTTTGTCGTTTCGTATTTACAACGACAACCGTTGCTGGTTTAAGGCCCGCGGACAGGCGGAGGTTGAGAGTTCAATCCTCGCTCCTGGCCCCATTTTTCGCCAGTTCTCTTTCCCTTTCCCTAACTTTAATGGAATGAATTCAATAGTCACCTTCTTCCCTCTTCGTTCACAATATTACTACGGCTGCACTTGTCAATCTTCACTCATTCCCAATATATATACGGTGCAGCCTGTCCCTATGGGGAGGAGTGGTTCCCTAGATATCTAAGAAGACGGGACCTTTTCGACATTTGCAAGCTGCGATGACGTGCCTCGTCACTGCCGCATGTCGGAAATAGCTCGGGCCTTAAATCAGCAATGGTTCTTGTCTACCAAGTTAAGCTAATTCGAAACTAAACAGTACACAAAGAGCTGGTCAGAAATTGAGTCCGCCGAAACCAGTGGCCGGGATGGTCTAATCGGTTAAGGAGCGCCCCGGACAGGCGAAGGTTGCGGGTTCAATCTCCTCTCCTAGCCCAGTTTTTCACCAGCTCTCTTTCCCTTTCCCTAACTTTAATGCAATAAATTCAATAATAACCTTCTCCCCTCTTCGTTCACAATACTACTACGGCTGCACTTGTCAATCTTCACTCGTTCCCATTTTAGACATATATATATATTTAATTTTTTGTATTTCTAATTCATATAAAAATTAGAGCTTTGCACTTTGTGTCCTTTTTGCTAGAAGTAGATCAAATTGTATGCAGACTTCACTAAGGGAATCATGTTTACTATATTTGTGTCTTATAAACGCTGCGGCTATTTTTTGGATGGTTTCTAACTTTCTAACCTGCGACAGTGTTTGGAAAGCATACGATATTGGTGTACTCGAGAATAGGACGGATTCTTCACTTATAGATAGAATTTCGTGTTTTCAGAGTATTATTTTTTTTTTGTGAAATTCTGAGTTTGCGTTATGGACTTTATTTTTCTTTAAGAAGTCGATGTTTTCTTAATCCTACAAATCTCTGCGTTAAATATATAATACCGAGCCACAAACGTACACTAAATTCATGAGAACTCGCCTGATCGAATGATACGTTTGCAGCTTCATTTGGCATTTGCGCCCTCCTCATTTGGTCCCACGACAAATCATTAAAATTATCGTCGCTTCAAATAATCTCACTACGTAGAAATAACTAAACACCTAGACTTAGTCGCAGAAAATCAAATGTTTTAGCTGCCCTGCTCTCCTAAGAAATGCCCCGATTCATAGCTTTCACTATTAGAAAAATAATGCCCCTCCTCCCATGAAGCAAATAGAGTATAATCCAAACTAAAAACCGGAATAGTTTTTTTTTCTCGTGATCCTTGCGAACATTAATATTGATTGACGAAAACAATTCTTGAGACGAGGAACAAGAGGGACAATGGACAGACACAAATCTCCAAACACAGCTCGGTGACTAATTCGCGACCGAAAGAAAATCCGCCTGGTCCGGGTATCAAACTCGGGACCTCTCCATTTCCGGTGGAGGGCTCTACCAACTGAGCCAACGAGGGTTAGACGTCAGTAGAGCAAACGGGTTTTATCATCTGCCACCAGTCTAACACCAACAATGGTGAAGCTTGCAATTTAAGGTTATGATTTTCAAGCAATTAAATCAAAGATGTAAGCGAGCTGAACATGAATGACGGTAGCAGCTGATAAAACAAGTTCGCTGTACTGATGTCTAACCCCTGGTTAGCTCAGTTGGTAGAGCGCTCCATTTGAAATGTAGACGTCCCGGGTTCAATTCCTGGACCAAGCGGATTTTTTTTGGTCGAGCACCAGTCACCTAGCTGTGCGTGTCCTTTGTCCCTCTTGTTCTTCTTCTCCAGGAATTATTTTCGTCATTCATGTCCAGCTTGCTTGCACCTTTGCTCTTAATTGCATTATAATCAGAACATTGATCCGCTGTTCTGAACAAACCTTGACGAGAAAAATGGGAAAAAGACTTCTGTCAATAGTTCAAAACTTCAAATGAAACCTCTCAGGACCACCGACCTTGTGCTCTCTAGAAATGCATTTGTCAACTACCCTGTTTTTTATTTTTTATTTTGCTAGCCTGGCCTCGAGATTCTGAGTTTTTTTCGAATAAATGTGAATTAGTGGATATTTTACCTGCGACTGAATTTTTTTTTTCTGTTTTTTGGATGTATAAGAAAACATCGAACTCTATGTATAGGCTATAGTTTCGTTATAAAAACCTTATGAGTCACAGAGTCAATGTGCAGACCTCAGAGATGTTGATGACTTAGATGCATGCTAAAGTATTTATAATCTGACTTTATTAAGGGGTATATTGTGTACGGGGTAAAAACAAAAACTAATTTTTTTGGTTGTTATCGTCAAAAATACATATGTACACATCGCGACACTGTTAGCACGAACACGGCGTCGGCGGATTTTCGCATTTTACTTCTAGATAGTATGAGCGAACATGAAATTTTATTGCTTACATTATAGAACTAAATGAGCTCTTTCCGTAGCAATAATAACTTGGATGACATCCCTTGGTTTCAAAGAGAAAAACTGAAAAAACCGGCGATCGCTTGTTCGCGCTAACAGTGTCGCGCTCTGTACATAAATTTCATACCATCTGCCATCGTGACTCTGATTTGCGGTGAAATGTAGTGCATTATTGAGGATGATTTAATATTTTTGGCTATCAATTTGTGAACGAAGTATATAATCGTCAGCAAAGAGGCGGATTCTTTACACCAATGTGTTTAAACTCTGTCGTTTATAAAGATCAGAAACAAAGCAGGTGTCAATACCGATCCCTTTGAAACGCAAAATGAAACTGTCCCTTCCGATGATGGATGAGCGTTAGTTGTAATGCGCTGAAATCGAGTTGCAAAGTACTTTGTTACCCACTTATATATTCTACCTCCTCGAAAATTTGATCCTGCTTTAGTTATGACTTTTCTGTGGAATAACTTGTCAATGCTTTAAATAAATTTATAAAAATGACATCCACCTGGCCTCCATTAACACTTACAGAAGAAAGATCACGAATGCTTTCAGTTATATGCGGCGCAGTCGATAATTGGCGTCTGAAGCCGTGATGAAGTGAGGTTAATCCATTATTCTGCTGTACGAAGGTTGCAATGTGTTTTGAGGTAATGCTCTCAAGCATTTTGCAGCAACAGAGATATCCCTGTAGAGTGGTTGTTTGGGCGAGTTGGTTTGACATCTTATACAATCTTGTGCTCAACAAAGACGACGACGAAAGCAGAGTAGAGGACACAACAAGGCGCAACTTTCAACTGAATTTTATTGAAAACGTGTTCCAGCATATATAGTCTCAACCATCGTTACAATGATAACAAAAAGACAAAAGTAAAGGAAAAAAAAAACACCATGATAGAGCATAACTGGGAAACAACACTATCCCGTTCTCAGGAAAAACAATTCCTTCTCCGATAATGCGATCGACGGCATAGCAACACATATGTCACCTAAATAATCAATGTGCTCGGCTTCTATGATTTCGCGTGTTACCGCTGACTTGCGTTTCCCAATTTTTACACATTCATCCAACAGTGGGGTACAACCGCATGTCCTGCAATGCAAGTCAAGAAAGCCACCGTTCTTTTTTTGCACGTTGTTATTGTGCTCGCGAAGCCGATCATTTAGGCAGCGCCCCGTCTGCCCGACGTAGTGGCTGCCACAGGACAACGGAATGCGGTAAACCACGGCATCTGTACGGTCGACAAATTTTGTTCTGTGCTTCTTTTCACATCCGTGTTTGGCACGCACGCCAGGCTTTGATAGTTTGCACAGTTCCATGAGCTTATTGGGCGCAGAAAACACTACCTTTACATTTGATCGCATTGCTATTTTCTTTAGATTGTGCGACACTCGGTGTATATACGGAATCACAACAACTTTTCCTTTTTGTCTTACCGGCTGGCTACCATTGTTTTCTACGAGACAGCGCTTTCTTAGAAGGCCTTCCGCGACCGCAACAAGAATGTGTTTTGGATACCCAGCTTCGAGCAAGCGCAAAACTTGCTGATTAAAACCCTGGGGGATCAAATGCTCACAGGACTTTTTTAGTACATTGGTGAAACACAGGTTAACAATACTCCTTTTGACTAGCCTGGAGTGGGCTGAGTGAAAGGGAAGTAACGGCTTATTCGCACGTGGCTCATAGCACCAACAGATGCGGTCGTTGAGAAATAAAAATCTGATGTCTAGGAAGCGAATAGTGTTGTCCACAGGTATCTCATGCGTGACCTCGAGTGGGCCAAAACATTCCTTAAAAGCGGTCAGGGTTTTGACAGCCTCTGCTTCAAAAGCGTTTGTGTCAGATGCGATGAAAACTAAAAAATCATCTACGTACCTAAAAACGTTTTTTACCTTTGATCCCTGAAGCCGGCTGTTAAGAGTACTGTCAAGTTGTGCTAAATATATATCGCTTAGAACAGGCGCGATACACGAGCCGATGCATAAAAGATAGAAACTAAGTAATTCTAAAAAACCGCTGCTTGACATCCCTAGCTCATTCTGAAAGGCTACCACTCCAAACTTGTCGATGCACTCCTCCACACAAAACAGCAAGCCGGAATGTTGGAGGAAGTAATAAAGGTCTTTCACATCGACCGAAAACGCCCTCAGAGCGTTTCCTTTTTGAGTTCTTACGAAGTCTAGGACTTCTTCTGAGCTTCTGACAAGAAAAGGGTCGTAACGTGTAGCATGTTAAGTTTCTCTTGAAGATATAGTGCTACTGATTTTTGCCACGTGCCTCTTTCGGAAATTATTACGCGTAAGGGCATTTCTAGTTTGTGTGCAAGGAACTTGAACTCAGTAGTGTTGTAAGGAGCATTGAAAAAAGTACGCGCGAGTGTTTAGATGTTTTTTTCAGTGCCAAAACCGACAAACTAGAAATGCCCTTTTATTTATATATGGAAATGGCTTAAGTGAATTTTCGGTTGTTTGGTAATCTTTATCTTCACTGGATGAATGGCTGAAAATAATACCAAGGTATTTTGCAACCTATACGTCATACAGTCTTATGAATACGTTGCGCATATTGCCGCAGCAAGTTCTTTTTTTTTGTATTTGGTTTAACTAAAAGTGACCAAACACCTTGTTCGGTGACGACAAGATCAATGACTGAGGCTGAGCAAGAGGCGAGGGAGGGTATGGCACCATTTTCAGCTTTAAATGCAAACTATAAGTACTTATGAGACGCCTTTCCAAGGTTTTCTTTATTAATTTTAGTTTGGACCCGGCTTTTGGGGAAACATTATTCCAGAATTTGGAATGTGATGATTTAATGAACGATTGAAGGCTTATATTTAAAAAAAACAAAACATTATGTTCAGTTGATTTAATATTGAAGCCGAGTTCAGAATTCAGCTCTGTCGAGTAATTTATCCACATGAGCTTTAATTTTCTTTGTACGATTGCGCAGTCCAATTATTTCGGGTTTTCTGTGAACGTTTTCTCGCTTTTCTAAGGAGTCTTCCTGACTATTTTTAGTCGGGATAAACTTTGGTATACAAACGTTATGGATGCTTCTTTAAATTTGTTCCAAAGATCGCCGGTAGTGGTGGGAGTGTTCATGGCGAGCAATTGTAAGGTGTCAAAATGTACGTCAAAATGATCGAGTAGGCCTGCGTCGTCTCCTCTGTTAAAATCTAGGATTATACAAACCTGCGGCGTAACAGAAACCGTGAAGCCTCTTTTGAAAGTGGAATTAACCATTTCATGATCGGATATTCGATTTAACACGTGAACCCTATATTTTTGTTTTATAAATTGCTCTCAACCCGAAAACACTATCTAACAATTACTGTGTTGACCTTGGAATGCGGGTATTATCGGTACCAATTTGAGTTACGTTGTAAGAAAGGCATAATTTAAGTAAGATCATCTACACCAGAAGAAGTCTTGGTGGTTGCTTGAAAGACTAATAAAAAGGATGTATGTTGAAATTGCCAGCCATTATTTTACTGGTCATGAAACTTTTACGCATGTATTCATAAGTTTTTTTTTAAGAACTTGTGGGAGGCATTTAGATACCTGTAAGCAGCTGCAACGTAGCAAGACCTGTTCTCGTACCCAATGTTACGCTATCAAGTTTAAATTTCTTGGAGTTCGTGTAGCAGGGTACAGGAAATCGCACTTCGTACAAGACCGCCACTCCGCCGCCACGCGAAGCCCCATTTTGACAAAGGGTGTAGAATTGGGAGGTGTGACCTCGCTATCTCGTATGCAGCTTGATAACCTTGTTTCGGCTATTACTAAAATATCTGGTCAGCACTCAGCTTTCAAATTTATTTCAGTACACACGATCGTTGCTTCGAGTTGATCAATTTTATAGACGATGCATAAAGAGATTAAACCAGACGCGCGATAAAGACGTCTAGAGATTCATATTCCCTCGAGTCAAGAGGAAGCCGGTTCGACTTCTCCAGCGTTTGAAATGGCCGTGAATAATTTGATGATAAAAATTTGATCTACATACTCAATTTCTTTCCGCCAATGATGGGAGGTCAGCTTTCTGGATTACATCCGAAACTGGTGTTCTCACATGGGTATTAAATATAAGTCTTACAGATTTATATTCAAACGGCCCTAACTTTGCAGTGCTTCATTTCATAAAAAGTGTACCAAATGGTGTTTTTATATTACAAAATTGGCTGAAAAACCGTTTCATTAGTGCGATGTCCGATATAATATGTAAGTGGTGTCCCATAATATTACTTTTTACGCCGGACACCCGCTATCGAAGTTGTGTGCATATCCCCAACTCTTCAGCATTTAGACGTCTGCTGTGTGCTAGCAACACAATACAAGTTGCGAGAAGACTGTTTTTTAAGATAACCAGGAAATAACATTGGAAACAAAATAGTGTGGTCGCCCACCCAATCTGAACATCGCGTCTTCAATAAGAAACAAATAAAGGTCACTAATAGGCATTTCTTGGTGTTTCGTTGTGAAACCTTATTAGAAACACTCTTCTGTGAGGGTCCATTGCTTAAAGCGATTCTTTTCACAACACCTCCACTTCTTTTGGACAGTCGCGTACACAAAAGGCCGTCTACCAGTCCAGTGTACAAAGATACCCTTCTCCTGGAGTCATCTCTTTACCGGGAGAGTCCAGTTATGAGACTTAAAAAAGAATGTTTTAATGTGCGCTGGTATCAGCATTTTTTTTACAAGGCGAAGGACGTCGTGTCCTGGGAGTGAATTATATAACTTTCGGTACATGGGTGGATAAAAAATTTAATTAAACCTTTTGTTAGACGCTTTCGTGAAACATTGGATTCTAAAGAATAACGTACAGCTAAAAAAATGATAAGCTCGGTCCACTTTCTTCCAGTAGGCACTTAGTTGCCCAGATTGGCCGTTGCAGGTCGTACCAACCAAATATGGCAAGGCATGACACAATAGCATTTGAATCACCGTCCTTAAAACTGGATTGCTTTGATCACACAGAAAAAGAAAGCGTATAAAGAGATGGCACTAACATGGATGACCAGAACGAACAGGCCTAAACTAATTTGTTCGGCTTAGCTACACCAACTTGGCTACGAAGGTGGAAATATTGACACAGGGACAGCCTAATAAAGTCGCATAAAAGATAATTATAAACACATGCCTTTTTCCGGCCCCCATAAGAGACCCACTGCATTGGACTTGGGCACAAAAGGTAACCACTGTACATAGCAACAATGTTTCACGACCTCTATTTTTTGCTGTCTCATCAATATCAGTAAGTGAATCAAACTGAAGTCTCGCTTTAAAAAGGCTTTTCCAGTTGTGACCTGCAGACTGCGCGGCTCCAGTTTCCTCGTTGATCTTCCGCCCCTTACATAAAACATACACGACCACTATGCGGCTGGCAAGTTCGTCTGCTTCCTTTGCGGAGGTTGTGGTGACGTCAGAACGCCGAGCTCTCATACGTTCTGAATGAAGGATGGAGGGTAGACCTCGAGGCAGCTTGCATTGAGGTCTACCCACTATCCTTCAATCAGAACCAATCAGAGCTCGGCGCGGTTCTGACGTCACCACAACTCCCGCGCAAGAAGCAGACAACTTGCTCTCCGCATAATCCCAGAAGTGACAAGCGTGCTGTAGGGAGTAATTTCCCATATGTAAATTTAAACACCGGGAAGTTAGTTTGGCCAAGATTCACCCGTGTCTGCTGTAAGCGAGAAAGTTTGCCAGAGAAGTACTACCGCAAGCCTGAGGCCTTCAGCGTGCATCGCGGAGTAGCGGTACAGTATCAGATGCCGCTACGATGGTAATCCAGACTTAAACGGGCAGCTGCGGGGATCAAGCCTAGGGTTTCCGGGTTCTGCAAATGGAACCATTGCTCTACGGACTCCTACCTGTTGCGCTCTTCGGCCGCCGTATCCCCTAACAAACCATGCCATGACCATGCATTGCAAGTTTGTATTTTATTGGCCATTGTACTTCGCCTACCATCTTTTTGAGATGCCGAATAATCAGCCGAATTATTACCTATTTCTTCCGTCGCTTTGTTTTTGCTCTCACATGCAGGGAGGTCTGTCAAATCCTTGCCGAGTTTCCCTCTTAAAGTTAATCAATTTCTAAATTTCGCAAAATTAAAACTTTGATAGATTCGTTTATTCAATACTTTCAACAAATTTATAGTCTCATTATCCTTTAAAATGAGACTAAGATTTTGTTTCTGCAAATTCCTAATTATAGGCTAGCGACAGAACTGCCTGTTTATGGCCAACTCCCTACGCAGCTGATTGTTTCATTTTCTACCCAAATATCATTCCGTTCAACTTGCACGGATCAAAAGGCTGAAACAGCTGGGGAACATAACAGCAAAAGCAAACATGTAGGAAAACATTCCCTCTTAACAACTAAGCATTGTTAGAGGATATAAAAATCTATTTTTGTTTAAAGCGAAGACACTTACATATGTGCTATTTGTTGGGCCACAGATAACACACCGTCAAACATAACTCCTGAGTCACGGACAAGCCCAACGCCTAAAGAGCAGATATCGTTGAAATAAGAATAGCCTGCAAATAAATTGTCATATATTCAAAAACACATCACAGCTCACAATAAACTGTAATCCGCCGTAGTCCCTCATGTATAAGAGTTGTTAAAGTGTTGATGTGGACGACTTTCCATACGTATTACGTGAGCCCTATCCTATATACCCGACATAAACCAAAGTATGTGATGCTATGTGAAACTGATAATTCCTGTAAAATCAATGCGAATAATTCTTAGTAAAAAAAATTGATATTTGAGTACAGGTACGGTAAAATTTGACCTGAATAAAAATTATTGTTTCCACACAAACTGGTTAAAAAGAAAACTAACTAGAAGATCAAAGCACACCTGAAACCAGAAGCTGTGTTGAATAATAAATATCCCAATACTAATGACTATATTATTAAAATATACCTGTTCATGCAGACAAAATCGTTTAATCTAGGAACTTTAGCCATGCTAAAAAGTAGATAGGGACTTGCACAAGACAAAGTTCTATAAAATTTCTGTTACATCATTCCGGCACTTTTATTCCTGCTTTGTATGGTTATCAGTAGTAACTGTATACTACCAAAAACAATTGCTACCTATTTCCCAATAATTTTAGCGGAACTTATTTTTAAATACAGAGCACAATAAGCTTGATTTAACGAGAGACATGTTTTTATAAAATTCCCAAGTAACAAGAAGAAATGGTTACTTTATACAAACATGAGGGTGACAATTCGTATTGCTGTACTACGTATTGCTGTATTATACTACGGACGGATTCAGTTTGCGTGCTCTTAAAGTCACAAGAGGTTCTTTTTACGCTGGGCATTTGGTTGATTAGCTTCAGTAGCGATTTATCATTTACGTCTCTCAACTCTCTTTGCGTCGATTGATTGTGCTAGGTAAAAAGGAATGATGCAGTGAATCTAATCTATTGGCTAGAGCCATCGGCTCTCCCACGTGTACAAATATGAAAGCGGTATCATCGACCCTCGCTAATATGTTTTTTTTGTTTTGTTTTCAAGGGCCCGGCTTGTGCGCCTTTTCTTTACCATCACTTAGGCAAATAGAGAGTATCCAGGATCACCCAGACGAGCCCAGATTGAACCAGCCTGTTGGATGACACCACTTAAACCGCAACTTTTACTTACTTCTTTAATGTCATATTTTGTTTAGCCATACCCTCGTGGAGCAAGGTTTATAATAATAATAATATTTATTCAGAAATGCTGATCTGGCAGAGTTTATGTCGGATTGGTCAAAGCCAGCTAGGGCGTGTAAAACTATGTCCTGAGATTACACTAAGAAAAAAGCAAACAGGAGTAAGTAATGCAGCTCAATGAACAAAGTAAACAAAACAATCAAAGCTAAAAATAATAGTAATAATAATAATAATAAAATTTATGCAGTAGTGCAGGTATAGCCAGTTGAGTATCGGGTCCGGTCAAAGCCACCAGGGACTTGTGGGACCAGACCCTACACTAGAAAATACAAAAAAGGAAGTTCGCACGAAATAACATCACGTGCAGGAAAAAAAAAAAGCAAATAACATACAGAAGATTCACTTGACAGAATGTAGTCGGAATGTTTGTGTCAGTGACTTGGGTGAAGCTGTGAAGATGAAACTATAGCAAACGCTGTCTTGATCACTGTGTAAATTACAATCATTAAAGGCATAAAAGTAAAAAAAAAAACACTCAGGCATCAGTATTTTTAAACACTGTAAGAGTGCATTCGAAGACACAGTCGTTGAATTCATGAGTCTTTCTCTCAACTGTTTCGTGTGTTCAGTAAAAAAAACACTTATTAGTAGAAAGAAAATCATTCAGTCAGCGGGTCGAAGACAAACAAACTTCACGTAATAAATGCAGTCGTCATTTGACATGTCCATTGATTACCACAAAAAGCACGTACAGCAACATACTACAAAATAAAATGATAATAACGACATGGGAGAAAGTCACTATCTAGCCACATCGGCGAACATGTTTCTCAGAGAGGCCTTCAGCATTTTTTTTGAGGTAATGGCAAGCAGAGCAGCTGGAACGTCGTTAAAAACTTTTGGGTCATAAAAGGAACGCATGCTTTCGCCATAGTGAGTTCTCACTCGAGGAGTTTGAAAACGCAGAACAGATCTAAGCTCGCGAGATGGACTGGCCGAGACCTTAAACTCACTCTCCCAGAAGTGTCGCCAAATTACTGTTTGAAGAAAGAGCGAAAGAAAACACGGTAACTTAAGCAAACAAGCTCTTTCTAGACGACATGTGTGTGTTGTATGCTACACTCTTCAGAATTCCCTTTAACGTACGATCAATTCTTGAGTGCCAAAAAAGTGGACAGTTAAAAATACGCTTATGCCATACCTTAGTGTACTAACGCGTGAATAACGCTCTTTCTAATTGAGAAAGGTAGAAACGATTTGATATTGTAAAGCAGACACGAGACAGTTCTCAATCGTTTGCATATATATTGTCACGGGTGGTGACCAAAAAAACAGGAAATAAAAAGGAAGAAATAAACGTATAATGTGGCGAACTTGTGCCAGAAATGAAAGGGTACACAAGATAATAACAGAGCGTCGCGGGCGTCGAAGTCGGCGAGACAGCAGAGTCGAGCGCTGGGGCGAAACTGACTCCGGCTTGCCACGCGGAGCCGCTTTTGTGCACGCGTTGGCTTCTGGAGCATTCGACGTAGAAGGTTCGACGCGTAGAACGTTCTAAACTCGAATCAGCTAGACGGTTCTCGAATTCACCAGAACATCACATTACAGTGTCAACAAACTGCCTAGCCGCGGCCAGGAATCGAACCCTGGCCCTCCACGTGGGAGGCAAGCGCGATAACCGTTAGGCTACGGCCGCGCTGCCTGCTTGGCGCGCGGCAATATGACATATGAAAGTTTCATGAGAGATCACTGTCGAAGTGAAGACCTAAATACTTTACGGAGCTAACATATTCAACAGGTGTACAGTTAGAGCAAGATGAATTGGTGTTGTGAAGAAATAGCTGAGAAGTCAAGCTTACATTTTTCAAAGGGCTATGAAACCAGACCAGCTTCGTTTTTAAAGCATTTACCCGAAGCTTGTTGGCAAAAAAACCAGTCCATTATTTTAGCGACATCGATCTGAAGCATTTCAAATGCGCGCTCGGACACTAGATGTCGAGAAAGTATAAGGGTGTCATCGGCATATTGAAATACTTTAGAAGTTGTGATTGACGTTGAAATATCATTTACGTAGATGTTAAAAAATAATGAAGACCAAATAGAGCCTTGTGGAACTCCGGAAGTTAGGAAAGCGAGGGAGCTGCGTACGTTACCGACTGAAACAACTTGTGTACGATTTATTAGAAAACTTTTTAACAATGCATGAAATGGGCCACGAAAGCCCACTCTGTAGAGCTTGTCTAAGAGGATATTATGGTTTACGGAATCGAACGCTTGGCAACGTCGATAAAGAATGCGCACACACACATGTTATTGTCAAACGAAGGGTGTAGAATGCCCGAAAATTCTTCAAGAAGATTAATGGTACCACGACCAGTGAGGAAACCGTATTGATGTGGCGAAATTATACTGTATTTCTCAAGAAACCCAGACATAGCAATAAATATATTTTTCTCCAAGATTTGTGAAATGAAGGACAATATTGAGATGGGCCTGTAGGATGAAACATGGTTTGGAACTCCACCCTTAAAGAGTGGAATAACCATGACCTGCTTTAAGTCGTCTGGAACTTCTCCAGTTCTAAGAAAGTTATTTATCATTACAAGGAGAACATTCTTCAAAGAGTCATAATGTCGGCACAAGTCACGCACTGTTATTCCATCGACACCGGCCGACCTAAAGCGCTTGAAGGCAAATAGGTATGACCGCAGTTCTGGCTCTGAGAAGGTGGAAGAAAAGCGGAATCAGAGATAGATGAAGTGCCGTCTGCAGGATCTTCATCACTGTCTACCCAGAGTGTGACTGAATTCGCGAAGAACACGTTAAAGGCATTGACAGTAGAGCTCAAGTTCGACCCGAAATGTTTTTTCAATGTTTCAGTCGAGTCCTTTTTTAATGTCCACGAAGCTCATTGACAATTGACCAAGTTTTTCTGGAATCAGCACGTGCGTTTGCAGTCCTTTTAGCATAATATTTTCTTTTTGCTGATCGAACAAGGGCATTCACCATATTTCTTTGTATTTTACATTCTATTTTGAGATTGGCATTGTTGGGAGAGCGCCGAAACTTCTTCCACAATTGTTCTTTCTGCGTTATACTTTTAATAATACCTGAAGTAAGCCAAGGCAGTGAGGGTTTACGTTTTTTAACATATATAACGGTCATCGATAACTCCTAAAATTTCTAATGATGTCCACAAACACTGAGTACGAGTTTGTGCTGTTAACCGAGGATAGGAATTCATGATATTCTTTAATTAGTTGATCAAAAGTGTTTAAGTCAACCCGCTCTAAACGCCACGCACTCTCGAAATTATAACCTTTTTTGGAGGGAAAAACCCATTTACATGCGACAAAAAAATGATCAGCAAGCTTTTGTAAGATGACAGTGGAGTGTATGGAAGTATCGGGAGCTCGGAGGTTAATATGATCTAGGCAGGATGATACAATAATTTCATTTAATACTTCTTCACGGGTCGCACTCTGAACGGTAGGTATGATTCCATTCTCTGCAATTAGTGGTAAATAATCACAAACACATTTTTTTGAAGTTTTGAGGGTGTCAACGTTGATATCTCCCACTAAATATAAATGTGCTTCAGTAGACAATTCTTTCAAATTTTCCCTCAGCTCCTCAAAAAAGCCAGAGCAGTTAGACGAAGGAAGTCTGTGAAGTGCAAGCAAGCAAACCGCATAGTTAGAATTCGAAACCTTTAGCATCAAGCTCTCTGAGTGTTGAAATTCGACATCAGCTTGAGTTGTTGACCATGAGTTCCTTAAAAGACGCCGATTCCTCCTCCTGCAGTAATTGGCCGTGTAGAACGAAATTTTGAAATTCTAAAATCGTAAACTGTGACAGATGATCGGC